GGGCATCCTTGACGGACACCACTAGTTGTCACCAGTTCAGATGACACTTTATTTTGATAAATCGCACAGTGTTTACAGTAATGTTTACTGATGACGTTTCGAGCACAATTTATTGCTCATAATCATATCAAGGTAATCACACGACTTCCTAAATTCATTTATATAGTTCCATTGTTTTTCTCTTGATTTGATTGGTAATAGTATTTTCCATATTTCAGGTATGAGTGATGAGTCATTCCTATTGCATGTGTTGGGTGTAGACTCGATGAACAAGGATTCAGTAATCAACCTCTCTCTCCACCTACCTAGATTACTTTTTAGAATAGCGAGGTCACATCTAATGAGAACATGACTTTGTCTGAGACATTAAAATCTTTAATGCTATTTTAGTGGTTGACGGATATTAAAGGTTAGACGTGATATCTCGTTCAACAACTTCTAATTGATTTATTCTCGCGTACCAAAGACAAAGCAAAAGCCAATAATTGGTCGTCCAAACGAAGAGATGTATTTGCGAACCAAAACCAGCCATTAGACGAACGCTTAGCTAGCTAGTGATCGTGCACGTGACACGACGAGGTACCAAATGGCGGGGATGCTTGACCGGAAGCCTTCAGCTAAACAAGTCGACTTAAACAGTGGTGGTCAGCATCCAATGAGTGATTGCTGTGGTCAATAATTTTGGGGAATTATTTAACGCTACAGCTCACTCCCCCCTAGTGGGGTCGTGAGGACCCTAAGACAGAACCAGCCGGAAGTAAAAAAACTCGATGGTTCCCTTTCGGGTGAAAAAAATCTTCCGAGCGGCTTGGTCTTATGCCTACTGGTTTGTCTGCCTATGCTAATGGGGTGTTTGTACATAGCTTCCTGGTGTTGTTCGTTGGATTCCGTGCTTCGTTTGTTTCCTCTCCAGTGCCCGTTGCACCTGGAAAAGAAAACAAGAACGCTAAGAACCATGTCGAGGAAAATGTACGAAATGACCTTTTTGGTTAAAAAAAATTATGTGCATTTACTATACAGTAAAATAATGCTAAGTTCAGAACATCGAAAAAAAATACATCTAATTAATTATTTTTTTAGTGTTACATGAACTGTTGAAAAAAAATTTTTGTGTTCGGTGGTACTGTATATATAAAAAAAACTTATACGTCAAAAAAAATAGTTAGTACCACGAACGAGTGAGATGCGTGAATCACACGAATTCGTTAAGTTAAATAAGTGTGCAGATATTCTGGGAACCTTACGGTGCGTCCAGAACGGGTTTTCTTGGGAGGCTCCATAGAAGGTTCGGTAGCTGTCGCTGTGCTAGCGACTTCATCGATGTCTACACGATCTTCTGTTACTTGAGGATTTTGGGGTACGTTCAGCTCTATGCTAATAGGATTACCCTCCAAGTAAGCCGGTTTCAGACGGTCAATGCTGACGGTGTCTTCGCGGCCGTTTTTGTCCAAGACAAAGAATTTATCAGAACGTTTAAGAACCTTATAAGGTCCGTCATATGGGGGTTCCAGGGGTCTGCGCACAGAGTCGCGACGAACAAATACATGTGAAGAAGTTTTCAAACACGGATGAACGAAAACATCAATGGACTGTGGACGAAGGGGAGCAGGTTTAACTGAACGCATTGCGTTTGTGAGCCTGCTGACGTATGAAGCGTGATCTACCTCTGGTGGGAAGCTCGAGGGAGAAACAAATTCATCAGGCAGTCGCAGTGTCGTGCCATATACTAGCTCGGCGCTAGTACAACCAGCATCGGTTTTCAAGGCGTTTCGTATCCCTAGGAGAACTAACGGAGGGATTCAGTCCAATGGATGGTGTTTGCAGCTGACAGACCAGCTTTCAGCTGTCTGTGTAGACGTTCTACCATACCATTAGCTTGAGGATGGTAGGCTGTTGTTCGAAATCGCATGCAACCTAATATTTTAGTCAGGGCAAAGAATAAGCCACTTTCGAATTGCCGCCCGCGATCAGTTGTTATGGAAGATGGGCATCCAAAGTTAGCGATCCATCTTTCTACGAAGACACGTGCGACTGTTTCAGCAGATACATCTTTGATGGGTACTGCTTCCGGCCATCGTGTAAATCGATCGATGCAGGTTAAAATATAAGCATATCCATGTGATTCAGGAAGGGGACCAACCAAATCTATATGGACGTGTTCGAAACGAGCGTCAGGGAGAAGAAAGGTGCCAAGTGGGCTTTTGGTGTGTCTTATCACCTTGCACTTTTGACAAGCTAAGCACGTTTGTGCCCATTCCCTTACTTCTTTATTAATGCCAGGCCAACAAAACCGACTAGTTACGAGCTTGACAGTAGTGCGAATACCTGGGTGAGATAAGCCATGCAACGTATTGAAGACGTTACGGCGATAGCTTTTAGGCACGATGGGGCGAGGAGTACTCGTGGAAATGTCGCACAGAATAGTATCTCTTCCCATACCTAAGGGTTTCTCAGCTAATTGTAGAGTTGTTTTCGACAACTCATGTTGAAGTTCGGCATCTTCTTTTTGAAGACGAGCCAGTTTTACTAGGTCTATGCCGTCGATTTGGGTGAAAGAACATACGCGCGACAAGGCATCTGCCACAGTGTTGTTTACTCCGGATACATGGCGAATATCTGATGTAAACTGTGAGACGTAATCCAGTTGTCGTGATTCCCTGGGTGAATACTTATCTGAAGGTGAGTTCAGAGAGTACGTCAGAGGTTTGTGATCCGTAAAAATTATAAATTCACGACCCTCTACCGAATGTCTAAAATGTCGTATAGCACAGTACATAGCCAGAAGTTCTCTGCCGAATGTGCTGTACTTCGTTTCAGCTAATTGAAGGCGCCGGGAGAAAAAGGCAAGTGGTTGCCACTCATTGTCAACTAGCTGTTGTAGAACTGCGCCGATTGCAGTGTTTGATGCATCAACCGAGATACTTAACGGTGCCGTTGGATCCTGATACATCAGAAGTGTGGCATTCGCAATAGCTTTTTTAATCTGGGTAAAAGCATTTCGAGCAGACGCGTCAAGTTCTATGGACTTGTTATTCCCTCGAAGGAGGTCTGTCAATGGCTGAATCAAAGAGGCACAGTTGGGAATAAAGCGTCGATAATAACTTACTAAGCCGTTAAAAGTGCGGAGACTTTTCACCGTCCGCGGCTCTGGAAAGTTCAGTATAGCCTCGACCTTAGCAGCCAGTGGGCGAATGCCCTTGCAGTCAATAGTGTGACCCAGAAAGTCGAGTGAGTCAACACCGATTTGACATTTTTGAATATTAATGGTAACACCATGTTGGCGTAACCTGTCAAATGCCAAGTCCAAGTGCCTAAGGTGAGTTTCCTTGTCTGGACTGGCAATGAGGCAGTCGTCTAAGTATGCGTATACAAAGTCGAGACCGCGAAATACTTCGTCGATGAAGCGTTGGAATGTTTGGGCTGCATTCCGAAGACCGAATGGCATACGTAGAAATTCAAAAAGTCCGAAAGGCGTAATGATAGCCGTTTTCGGGATGTCTTCTGTTGCCATCGGGATTTGGTTATACGCTTTAACCAAGTCGATTTTAGAGAATATAGTCGCGCCGGATAAGGTTGCCGTCAAGTCGTGTATATGAGGCAACGGGTAGCAATCAGGGGTTGTTTTGGCATTCACTCGCCGGTAATCACCGGTGGGTCGCCAATCGTTGCTATCCTTTTTCGGAACCATATGAAGTGGGGATACCCATGGGCTATTCGAAGGTCGAATGATGCCAAGGCTAAGCATATGGTCAAATTCATTCCTGGCGATTCTCAGTTTGTCAGGAGCTAATCGTCGTGCTTTAGATGTCACAGGTTGTCCTGTGGTAATGATGTGGTGCATAACATTGCTGGTTATGCACGGTAGGTCGTTCGACGGGCAGTTAAGTTCCGGATACTTGTCAACAATAGGTTGAAAAGTTGGATCAAGGATTGCCTTTATCTTAACGGGTGACAGACTGGGGCCTATGTAGCTGATGCCTTTGATTGACAGACTAGTAGTATTGTCAATCAGTCGTTTTCGGCGGACGTCTACGAGTAAATCATGATGATTAAGTAGGTCCGTGCCAATGATGGGCATTGTAACGTCAGCGAGAAGGAAAATCCACCGAATAGGTTTGCGTAAACCTACGTTCAGATAGACGTATTTCCTACCAAAGGTTGCGATTGGTTTTCCATTTGCAGCCTGTAAGTTGAAGGTAGGTTCCTTCTGTCGATCTGCTGCTGTAGCAGGAAGGACGCTGACTTCGGCGCCTGTGTCGACTAAGTATCGAGTCTGGCTTATCACATCATGGATGTAAAGTAGGCGGCTAGTGCCACCGGCGACGGTTGCCGCTAACGCGTGCCGGCGGGATAGTTTCCCGCAGACTTTGAGACATTTCCGAAGTAACAAGGCTTACGGCAACACTTCGCTTCTTGGCCATAGGTGTTGTGGTACCAGCACCAGTTGGGGTTTTTCAGTGAACGTGGTTTGGACTTAGATCGACCACGCGAGTTCCTGCGTTGAGGAGATTTAGGACGACCAATTATTGGCTTTTGCTTTGTCTTTGGTACGCGAGAATAAATCAATTAGAAGTTGTTGAACGAGATATCACGTCTAACCTTTAATATCCGTCAACCACGTCGGGCTCACCAGTTTAGTGGTTGACGGATATTAAAGGTTAGACGTGATATCTCGTTCAACAACTTCTAATTGATTTATTCTCGCGTACCAAAGACAAAGCAAAAGCCAATAATTGGTCGTCCAAACGAAGAGATGTATTTGCGAACCAAAACCAGCCGTTAGACGAACGCTTAGCTAGCTAGTGATCGTGCACGTGACACGACGAGGTACCAAATGGCGGGGATGCTTGACCGGAAGCCTTCAGCTAAACAAGTCGACTTAAACAGTGGTGGTCAGCATCCAATGAGTGATTGCTGTGGTCAATAATTTTGGGGAATTATTTAACGCTACACTATCAATAAATTTAAACGTATCATCAATGGAAAACTTAGATACTTGCCTTCTGACTGGTTCCAGTATTTCAGCTAGCTATTGAGCGATTCCGTGATAAGTAGAACCCGCCATATCGGGGATCGGACGGAGGGGTAATCCTGTCTTATGAATTTTCGGTAGTCCATACAAACGTGGTATCATGGAGCCTACTGGTCGGATGCTTTCAAATATTTCTGACGAGATGACTGACTTATTCCTCATCTTCTTTAAGACATCGACCAGTTGATTTTCAATTAGATGAGTCTCATTCTTTTTGCCATCGGGTTTGGCCAATTTCATTTGATCATAGAGGATCGCTGAGATTTCAGCCATTATAATCTCGGCGATTCATAACTACAACACCTCCACCTTTGTCCGGACGGCATATGCTAATATCGCCATTCTTCTCTAGTTCTTTAAGTTGGTCTATTTGCTCTTTAGTCAGAAGATTATTCCAGCTAGGTCTTGAACTAGTAAACTGATGATAGCAATCAAGAACTGTGGATTTAAGGTGTTGGAATTCCTCAGGTGATGTGGGTGTCAGATCGCTGGTCTGATTAATAAGATTTTCAAATTGCACTTGAGTATACACTATGTTGACTTCGGACGAACTGTTACAGAATTTGTGGCCTTGTAGTTGAATTTCAGAAAGAGTGACGGAAGAATAATTAAATACATATTTATTGAGATCAGTCAGAAATCTGTTTTCTGCCACTACCTGCTTGAAGCTGTCAAGATGCTTGAGGTTAGCAGACTGGGACTGTTTCCCGATGACACAAGAAACGCATTCTTCGAATTGCCGGAGTTCATCAGTTGAAAGTTCAAACAGAACGTGACTTCTCACAGATATGTTCCTGTTTAGCTCTACAACACTAGAACTGATCGCATCAATACGATTAAGTGTATGGTGCTTTAATTCATAGGATGTATAGATGCTGGAAGTGGTCGCATAATGAAAGGGTTAGTAAGCAAATAAAATAACATGGTGTGCAATTTGATACGATAGAATTCAACATTCCGAAACATTTTTGATTTAGAATGACAAATGGGTATGGTGATTGAAAATTTCTTTTGCTGTACTGTTTAAATGCTTACTGTTGCTTGTTAAATTTATTACATAAATGACAATTAATTCTGACAAATACAAAATCCCAACTCCACCCCTTTATGTGTTGTTGGTTGATTTCTTGTGGTTCGGTCATTGCGAAATCCTACTATTACGAATAACCATTACAATTTGCCGTCGCCATGGAATGATATAATCCTGGAAAGCTTCCTATGAATGATTCACTGAGGGGAATCGACGATTACCTTGAATGCTTTGACGCATGATGCGATTTCGCTAGATACGTACAGACTAGTGAAAACTCTGTCATTTCCAGATCAACCCAATTCTCTGCCATACGATTAGCTCCGCGAACATCTAATACATCACTTACACATAAAAGCCTTCCAAACACGAAGAAAATGACGTGGCTGACGTGAGCTTAAGAACATATTATATAAATTCAATAAAGCACATCCCACCATAAGCTTGACTAAGGAAGAAGAAGAAAATCACTCTATCCCGTTTCTGGACGTCCTAGTGACTAGATGAACAGACGGAACAATATTTATTAATAACTATGAATGTTTCATCAACATATCGACAAAAATCAAGATTATATATTACATCTTTAAGCGGACCATTTTTTCGGCTAAGCGGTCGACGTGCTCTACCACTTCACTCCCTATTTCTAATCTAGGAGTCGGTGTAGTCCAGTCCTGTAACATCATCTTGCATTTGGCGGGAGCGAATCGCATGCCAAACATTCGTAGATTGCAGCTCAAGGTGTTTAGAAGACTCTGCATTTTGTCAGCGTCTTCGCCTAGAAGGACTATATCGTCTGCATATTCCAAGTCAACGAGATTATTCCCCGGTAGCAAGTCAATCCCTGAGTCGCTGAAGTCACTTAGGGTTAAGTCCATTAACACATCTATGATGAAGTTGAATAGAAAAGGGGATAATGGGCATCCTTGACGGACACCACTAGTTGTCACCAGTTCAGATGACAGCTCGCCGTAAGCCCTCACCTGGCTGTATGAGTACGAGTAGAGTGCCTTAATCAGTGCAGTGTATTTTCTCGGCATTCCCTTTACAGCCAGGCATCTCCAGAGGACTTCTCGATCGACAGAGTCGAAAGCTGCCTTTAGGTCAAGAAATACAATTACTGTTGGACGCCGGTAGGAATGCCTATGTTCTAGAGTCTGTCGGAATGTGAAGATATGATCAATACACCCTCTTCCTGGTCTAAAGCCTGCCTGGCTCTCTCGTGTTTGAGCCTCCTGAGGACCACTCAGTCTACGCATGATTATTGAGCCTAAGACTTTAGATACTATATTAGTCAAGCTAATGCCTCTGTGATTATCACAGGAAGACTTGTCTCCCTTCTTGTATATGGGGATAATCAGTGACTTACACCAACCCGATGGGACTTCTTCTGATTCCCAGACGCTGCCTAGAACCTCAGTTAATGCAGACAGCAAACTGTCTCCATCGTACTTAAATACCTCTGGAGTCATTCCATCAGGTCCCGCTGCTTTGCCTAGTTTCAGATTGGCGACAGCTTTAGTAACCTCAGTTAGGGATGGAGGACCTGTGTCTATATCCCATTCAGGGAGGTGTTGGATGTTTGGCAGTTTGAGCGTGGCTGTAAGATAATTAAACTGCTTCTCATATTGTTCTTTCCAGCGTTCCAGTCGTCTATCCTGGGAGCTAATTATAGTGCCATTTTTTTCCGAGATTGTTTCACTAATGATTTGTCTTCTCTCACCCGTTTCCCTGATCAGTCTAAATAGTTGCCTGGTGTTGCCTATCCTCGAAGCTTTCTCCATCTCTTTGGCTTTTGTCACCCACCACTGTTCACGGTCCTTGCGGAGACTCTTCGTGAGTTTCCTTTTGTGCAGCCTTCGCTCCTCATTGAATTCGGAGCTCGCCAGAATAAGTCTTGTAGCATCTATCAGTTCGGATGAGGCGGTGGAGATCCAGTGGTTTCTACTCACCTTTGGGTTTACCTTGTTCACAGCTTTTACAGCTGTATCTATGGCTGCCTGGATATTCTTCCAAGCTTCTTCAGGGTGAGCACAGCTGTCGAACACAGATATGTGTTTAGCTAGTTCTTCCTCAAATAGGGATTTAGTTTCCTGATCGAGCTGGGGACGTGATGGTTTTACCGCTAGCTGTTTCCTACGTCTGTTCAGTCGTAAGCACACCCGAGCCCGGACCAGTGCGTGGTCGGTATCTACACACGTGTTCCAGAAGCAGCGACAATCTCCTACCGACCCACGCCAACGATAGCTTATTGCTATGTGGTCTATTTGTGTCCAGCGTTGGTTTGATGAAGGGGGGTCGGAGACAGTTTTAATATCGAGAAATGCAGTGATTGTTGATCTGCAATAAGTTTGTTGTTGTAGCGATAAACATCTGATTGATGCATATCCACTAGCGAAATGATCCCTTCCTTATTCGTCAAGAATATATTTTCCCCACATTTTATAGTGTCGAAAGTTGTTGTGTACTCGTTGCCAATATTATGGTGTGACCGAGTGTAAATATGCGCTAATGAGATATAACGGATGATAACGTGCAGAGTGGTATTGCTGAATACTTAATATGTCCTGATGCGAAGAGGCGAATCAAAACACCATCACGTTCACGACGATACGTGTATTTTCCATCAAGGAAAATTAACTGTCAAACAAGAGTGTGAGTGAAAAAGTACTAAAGAGTACAATACAAGAGATATATGAAAATGACTGACATACATGAACCAATAGGACAGACAGTAGTTTTTCTTACCACCATTGGATTCTGATTGGTTGTAATGTCATGTGGCAAAAGGTCATACACTATTTATTTAGTTAATGGACAGACAAAGCATATCGGGAGTTATAATGGAATAACGACAAATATGCACATAGCAAACATATCAGATTGTCAAAACAAAGCAGACATTATGAGACTATATATCAAAAGTATAACAGAAGTCGGTATTTTAGATGTAACTCTTGACGTAATAATACACAGGCCATTGTCACATTTATCACATAGGTTCCGTTTTAAGATAATTCAAATATATATCACTAAGTTCAAACAATAGCCTACTTATTACAGTCGAGTAGAATGAATTGAATCCCTAAAACACTGTAGTGCATCAATTTGTATTAGATTCTAATTACATCTGAACTTAATTCAAAGTTCGCATTAGCTTTTTCCATTTGATTTAATCCACAGTGATGCAGCTTCCTTGATTGAATATTTTATTTTCCTACATAGTTAATAACTATGGTTGGTAAATTCCGTCTGTATGATCATCAGTCAATAATGTTATATTGTAACAGCAGAAGGCAAGACAGGGACGCCAAGGTATATTTTCAAGTGATCTAATAGCTATTCATATCTATACAGTTTATATTCTTTAACGAATCACTGAGCTTGTGATTTTGGTTTACACTAAACGACGTGAAATGGAATGCTCAAATAAATATATTATTCTGTTTCTAATGCAGTACTGAACTGTGAGAATAGTATTCAGATGTTAACACCAACATATACAATGATTCTTACTGTGAGAATAATATTTCGTTAGAACCCATTGTCTGTATCACACACCACCACAATATTATTTCCAAGGTGAAAATTTCATATCAAATTGCAAAGTTATTTTGAAAACAGTCAAAAGGAAATAGTGAACTTTTAACCAGGTAGATCATCGGTTGACTTGTAAATTTTCGATGTTATCTGGTCACACGTTGCTGATGTGTTTTAAATAAAGAAATCAACTGCTAATTTTCGGCTAGGTAGTGGTAGTGATTAACGCGAGAATTTACTCTAAATGGTCATCATTTCCCAGCGAATGAAAAAAAGAGCGATGTTGTCGTCACTCACGTTTGGCTATTTAATACTGATAGCTTTATCAAAGTATTATTAAACCGGAATTTACAAAATCTCAGCTTATATTACAATAACTTAGTCATCGTTCTTCAGCATGAGGTAATTTTCATATTGTCAAT